AGAGTTATTGAAATCTGTGACAAATGCGACAGCTCTGCCTCCCCTCACAGCCTCCCATTCTCATCTCCGGTATCCTTCTCCTGTATGGCCTCCAGGCACCGTTTTGACTTGGCGTCTGTGTGCCCACTTCCAGTTTTGCTCAGTCCACACGACAGGCACGCCAGCTGGATCTGCTTCATGTTCTCCAGGGCTTCATTCTTGGCGTTCTTCAGGAGATCTCCCTGGCCCTGAGGATGCACAGACAGACACGCAGGAGAGAGTCAGGGATCACACACATCGCTCGGGACCAAAAGCGGCAATACTGCTCTCAGGTCTCGGCCGTATCGTTTGGTGCCCTGGAACAGGATCCAGGTCCTGTCTCAAATCCCCTCTGCCCCCCATGAATGCCAGCCCCCAGGGAAGGGACTGAAGCCCCTTTTGCAGCCTGGCACCTGGCTCGGCGGGGACGATGCAGTGGGCAGGGTGAGAGGGGCAGGCACCAGACTCCCTCCCCCTTCCTGGGAGGCAATTTGGGCCTGGCCCTGAGGAGCCCATCACTCCCAGGAGCCCATCCCCGTGGGGGAAAGCATTTTCTCTTCCACAGTGAACAGGTAGGATCTGCCAGGGAGGGGGCAGTGATGGCACATGGTACCGCCTTCCCTGTGCTGCGGCTATGTCCTGGCAGGAACACCCCTGGCATCAGACCCCACAGGGCAATGACGGCACATCCCTGGCCGGGGGTCCCCTGGGAGCTCTGAGACCCTGCTTACCCACCCCTCCTTCCACCTGGATTTGCCACCCAGCCCCGGGTTCTCCTTTAGCAGAAGCAGGCCAAACTGCGTGCTTGTAGGAAGCACAGCACCCTGCAGGGCCACACTGAATCCAGCTGAACTGTGCTGGTTGGGACCTTTGAGAGGGTGAATGGGAATGAGAGACTGCATGAGGAAAAGCCTGCTTCTGTGTCTTCTCAGAGCGTGTAAAGGTGAGGTGACTAACAGTACATCAATCTAATTTGTAACTATCAGGAAAAATGTGTTACATGAAATTTGTATTAAGGAGTTGGTGTTCAGAAATGCCAAAATTAATATTTATGCAATATTGATATCTCAAATGCCGCGAAGCGCAAAGATTCTGGTGCTAGAGGATACAAATAAATAAAAGTCATGAGATGCATCTGGTTATTAAAATTCAGTATCACTAAGAACTTGAGCTGCTCTCCTTCTAATGTCACCTGAAATACAGCTTAAAGTACACCACCCGCTGCAGCTGGTTACATGCATATTCCGAAGGAACGCCTCCCCCGACTGAAATGTCGCATCCTTGCAACCTGACCTGACCTCCTGCCCACGACAGATGCTTTCCATGGTCTCAGAGGAGACAACAGAAATTACAGGGGGACCTGGGGCACACTGGAGGGGCAACTAATCACTGATCCTCCTGTGGTTTTCAAACCAAACCAGATGTGTTGGACGAGTCACAGCACAACACCTTCCAGCAGTGGGAGCATCTCTCCGCTCTCCCTTTCCCAGAGCTAAGAGGAAGGATTTACGCTGCACCAACGAGTGCAGTTTTCTTTTCGCCAGCGCCTGGCACCAGACTTGCACCGCCTGAGCCCCCGTAAACAATGTTCACAATGAAGAAACAATGGTGGCTTGCAAGTCCTGCTGCACTGGTAAACACCACGTGGGAAACCACATCAGCCAGGGATGGCAGCCGGCGCCCGAGAGCGTGATTTGAACAATGCAAATCGCTACCCAGATGCTGGGAATCCAACTCAATGCGAGAGTAACAAAAAGCACCGGGACTGGGGGAGCGGCTCTGTGCTGTTTGGCATGAAGCTCTTTTGAAGTGATTTGTATCTCGGCAGCACAACAGTTACGGGAAAACACAGACAAATAGCTTGGGATCCAGTGAGCAGACATGGTTGGAAAAAACAAAACAAGAATAATTTACGCAGCACGTATTTCACAGAGCTGTGATCTTGCTTTTAAGACGGAGGTTGAGCTTACGGCTAAAGGTGGTAGGCAGGAACCCAGGAGCTCCCTAAGCTGCCTTGAGCACCCGGCACACCTTGGTGTCCCTCCCTGTCTGCAAAATGGCACAGGAATCATGACGACGTTGTTGCAACAGGGACTACATGCTGTGGCATAGGCAAAGAGATCCAACAGCAGCATCATTAACGACGTGACAATGTTATCAAAAAGGGTGGTAGATATTTCACTATGCAAATGCAGTTTTAAATAATTTGGTTTTAGTATGAAACAGACCCAGCTGCAGCGGGGCTGCTGTTTTTTCTTGTCAGGCACATGGGACTGAAGACACCAAAGGCTGCACCAACGCACAGACAAAAATTGGTGTGATGATGCTTTGCAGCCTTAACTTCTAAGTCAAAACCCTGGCGCCATGTATTCATGCGCAAGAACAGAAAAATGCCCTTAGCACAAGAAACAACTCAAAATAGACATCCCTACAGCACCAAGAACAGCTAAGCCCAAAACCTGAGAGAGCCAGTGCAACAGAGAGGCAAAATGATGACGATGAAAGCCCAGTACCCTGAAGCACCTGGCATCCCCTTAGCTGGGATGTCTGGGGAAAGACTTCTAGGAGCTTGTCTTCTGCTGTGGCATGGCCAGCATCTCCCCAGGCAGCAGGAACAATCACCCATGCCCTGCACAGAGGAGGAGGAGGAGGAGGAGGATTTCCTGTCATGCAGCAGCACAAGATGGATACAGCTCCACAAGCTGACACAAAGAGCTTCAGCTGAGTCTATGTCGCCTTCTTTGTGCCCTCTTCCTTCTCAGAGTCAGAGCAAAGCATGGAAATCTTTCTCAGGGTGACCCACAAACTGTGTCTTTGCCTGGGGACTCTCCGAGACATTCATTTAAGGGAAGCTACTTGGGATCCGATACACCCCTGCTTGGAGGATGGCAGCCTGAGTCCGCCCTGCCAAGACTCGTATCTGAAGTCCCCAGAAGCCAAGGGACTTCACACCCCGTGTGAGGGTGCTGAGCCACCCGCCCTCCCTTATGCATATTCTGATTTCACATTTAAGTAACCAGGCAATTCAGATTACAGGTTTCATCTGAGGCAACGCATTACATGTCTTCAGATTTCAAGAAGAAAAACACTCCTCCTGAGCATGCTTCCAATATTTTGAAGACATTCGTATTTTACAGTGATCTAAAAACAGAAATGGACTTATCAAAATAGTGCAATTCCATTCATGTGCAGACCAACTGATTTATGTCTTAGTTTCCTTGTATTTTTATTTTTAAACAGCTGGTTCATTTGAGCAAGCTGAAGGAGCAAAAATGATTTTGAATCATCTGTCACAAGAAAATTAATGACAAACCAGCCCCCTCCGACAGAGCTGTCATAATTCTAGAGATGCCATAAAAAAAAAAAAAAAAATCTTCAGGCATGCTCTGTTTGAAAAGCCATCTGTTTGCTTTGAAAAACTGGCTGTGAGCATAATCCACTTAAGAAAAATGTCAGCAAAATTGTGTCAACACCTTAACGAACTAAATACTGGATAGAAGCTGGAGTAAACTTTGAAAGTATGATTGCATTGAAACAATCTTCATAAATCAGTCATCGTGATATCAGTCTCTGTCCACAGAACAATCCTCTCTGCCCTTTACAAACAAAGCCTCTCTCTTCCAGACAAAGGGAGATCACGACAGTCCACTTCGGCATCTATCCATCTATCTCCCTTCTGCTATTGATATCATCAGCCTTCCTGAAAATAAATACTTGTTGGAAAGGTTAAACCCAGCATTCGGCAGGACACTAAATTAAGCCAGAAGAGATTGATCGAGTGTTCTACTTGAAAAACTGATCAAGGGGCCCATTTTTATTTAGAGTTAGGGAACATGAAATGTCAGGTTTCGTACACCTAACTACAACTAACTGCGGAGCCTCAGCACAAATTAACAGTACAGTACAAATAATGCAGCTTGTCAAGCAAGTGTGGGATTATAAGCCTTTACAGGCTAATAATACTACTTAGAAGACAGGGATAATCTGACACGGCTTTAAGTATTGCTCAGTTTCAGTGACAACCCAAGGCTTTAAGAAGCATGAGTAGTTCTAGGTACACGCTGGCAACGGCCACAGATGGGACGAATTCTGTATGTTGTTTTTCATTATTTAATATTTTTGCCAAATCAAACTCCTAAGTTTTTATGAGTCAAGACGACAGCTCATTATATCCAACAACCTAGGCTCTAAGCTTGGGGAAATGAGAGGAGGAGGTGGGTTAGGTAAGTGGCACCATTTTGTGTTCGACTCCACAATTTTTTATTTTTTTTTTTAGTATGTTGCGTGTATATTTCTACATAAATATAAAAATATGGGCATGGGTATGTGCATTAATAAATAATTACTATTTCTATCCCTATGCTTTCTAGGAAACGCCCTGCAACATGTAGGTCATGACACACTGCTAGTTCTGGGTACCCACCAGTACCGGGGGCCCCGGCTACCCCACAGGCAGGCAC